ACTGCGCCGTAGCTTGTTGCTGCTGCACCATAGCATCTCATATCGATGTGCCCAAGGGGTAGCTTTTTTTTTAGAGAAGCCTCTGTTTGCTTTTAAGCCACACAGAAACATTGCAGAATATGAGCCCGGTTAAAATTGGTCCAGTTCTGGCTGCAACCGGGATTTAATGTTGTACGCTGTAGATATCTCACAGCAGTGTCATGGTCACAACCTTGTTTGGAGAATTTGAACTTAATGGAATGGCTGGCAATATGGGAATAGGGTAAAGCTATAAATAATTTTCTTGAGTGACCTAATAAGGTTTTGAATGATGGGCTCAGATCCCTGGCACTACTCTGTCCCTTCAAGAGTCCAGTATTTATAACCCATTTGCCAGCAGGGCACAACATTTTAAGATCAACATCTTTACAGTGTGTTGGGTGATGTAGGATATGAAGAACAGCAATTTGGCCTATTCTGTGAAATATTTCACAGGCTAGGGAGGGAGTGTATATCAGTATGTCTTTCCAGGAACTACTGCTAAGCTCTCCATTGACTGAAAAAATCAGACTCATACCAACAAATAGAAGGTATGCAAGATGTCCTATAGAAACAAAATTCAGCATGAATATAAAATTGAGCCAGGTACTAAGAAGTAGCCCATACTCATGGTTGTCTTCTTCTGTTTCTTTTCTATTCTGCTTAGTTTGTATTTCCTTTCTTTCCCAAGGTATACAGGGAGTCCATCCCAACCTCCCCCAGTTAAGTGGCTATTAAGCTTAAGAAAATGCAAATCAAGAAGATGCTTAGCTAACACAGTGTCATTAAAGTGATTCCCCAGCCATAAGCAAGGCAATGAGAAACTGTGCTCCATTTTTCCTTTGCAGTGCATCCTCTGGATCAGCAAAGTCAGGCTCGTGTAGACCAAATGGGGAAGCATATTCCAATCAATGGCCTCTGTGGGGAACACCTACCTCGAGCTCTTTGGCAAAAGCGTGTAAGCAGTGCAATCCCATGATCCTGGCTGATCTAAATTGCTGAGTCTAAGCATCAAGAGAGGGGCAGTTCCTAAGACATCGGGGATTCAAACCATAAAGAGCTTAGCAGATCACAGAATCAAAGAGAAGTCGGGCTGGAAGGAGCCTCCAAAGGTCATCTAGTCCACCCCACTGCCTGAGGCAGGATCATCCCTATCCAAACCATCCTGTACACATCTGAGGGAGCATCTGAGGTTGTACACACAAGACTAGGTGAAACCCAGTGTACTCTCTAGTGCACAGCACTTGTGCAAGCTGCCTGTGGGACTCTGTGATGGGTATTCTCATCCTGCACCAAGAGGTCTTCTGCATTGGCTTCATCGTAGAGTCATTGTAGGCATGCACAGTAGAGGTGATGAAGGTCTGGGGCTCCAAGACAGGCCTTCAGCCAGGAGGAGGACACTGTCAACCATTTTCTGGACAAAACAGGACTCCTGGGTGGTAAATGTTGGTCACAAAGATGGGCCTAATCTGATTATTGAATGAGCTAAGAAGGAATCTGCCTGCTTCCGGTGTTTGTCTAGCCCCGTCTCGGTTTTGTGCTTGTAATCTGCACCCATCTGTCTCTCCTCCGAGCCCCAATCCCAGCCCGATGCTGACAAAGACAAACAGTCCCCTATCTGTGTCTAGCAACACGGGGCTTTGGAAAAGAGAGTCATCAGCGTGCCAGGCGTGCTGCAGCTGAAATGACCTCATTTACACACACGCTGAACAAAAAAGGGGGGAGTGAATGGAAAGCAGTGGGACTTCTCTTCCAGAAAGCAGTCGTCAGGTCGGCCATGCTAAAATACAAGACAGACTATTGCATGGTGGATGTTAATAAGAAATTAGCATGCTCGGCATTGTCTGTTAATCCCCATTCATACCAGCAGAGCACATCCAGAGTGGAGATTCACAGAAGTTGAGGGCTGGAAGGGACCTCAGGAGATCATCGGGTCTAGCCACCTCCCCTCCACCCTGCCCCCCAGCTCTGGGCAGGACAGACTTGGCAAACTATATTATACTTATTTGTGACTGTCAGCCAGGACTCCTTGTAGATCTTGAAGCTATAACCACCTCACTCGGGTACAAAGATCTCTGTTTTTTGGGGGACCAATCATGTAAAGGTGCTGGGGAACCTCAGCTCTCAATGGGAGTGGAGAGGGTTGGGTCCTTTGCAGGTTCTTCAGTGACATGACATGACTTACTCTGCAATGAACATGCTCCATACCATGTCTTGAAACCTTCCTACATCTAAAATATAGAGCCTAGTTACCGATCATAGGAAAGTAGGGCTGGAAGGGACCTCACAAAGTTGTCTAGTTCAGCTCCTTGCTCAAGGCAGGATCATCCCTGACTTACCCATCCAGCCAAGTGCCTGTCTAACTTGCTTTTGAAAGTTTCCAAGCATGGAGACCCTCTAGGTAGCCTGGTCCAATGCCTGACCACTCTCTGATGACACTGTGAGTCCAGAATGGGGCTCCGTATCTTCTGAAGTACCTTGGGATGGCTCTGGAGGTTATATTAGTCTGCAGACGAGAAGACTGAGAGGGGCTTTGATAGCAGCCTTCAACTCCCTGCAGGGGGTTGCAAAGAGGATGGAGCTGGACTGGTGTCAGTGGGGGCCTAGCAGAATGACTGGATGGAAGAGAGATGAAGCAGAGCCAATATTTCTAAGAAGAAGGGGAGTCAAGGAGATGTAGCGTTATGGGGGGTCTGCTCTAACTGCCAGGAGGTTGCGAGTAGGTCTCTCCTTTAAAATTGTTTAAAAGTGCTCCAAAATTAATAACAACTGTGAGTTTTTGCCATAGTCAGATGTGTTAATAGGGCAATAGTGCTTATGGTAGGCAGGATTGGAAATGTAAAGATGCCCATGTATTGCCTGCAAGAGTCTTAAAAAGCAACAAAAGCAATGCTACCTGGGTGTGTGAGACTTCTTCTAGAGCCTCTCAAGTCCCACTTCAGCACTTTGGAGCTACAAAATGCATGCTGGCACCTTGAGTAGTGGGGAATTTCATCTCAGATGAAGAAATAATTTGGCTCAGGATGCCGATTGTGTTCTCTACTGCAGCTGGTTCAAAAATGTTTTTTCCCCCTTCTTTGCAAAACATTTCAACAAATCTAGATTTTCATTCTTGTCAATTTTCTCCCAAGTTTTCATTGAAAAATGGAAAGAATTTGCCTGACAGCCAATCAAAATGCTAGTTTGGGGCTGGTGAAACAACAATAACAATTTCCCATCAGAAGCCTGTCCCGTTTCAAAAGAAATGGAGATATTTTTTTTTTTTACCTGTTAAACCATCCCCTAACATTTGTGATGGAAACGTTTCACCACGTCTAATGTTTGCCACAAGGGGCTGATGAAGAAAAGATCTGGACTTGTAGCTCCTGTTTGGTAAATGGCACATAGTGCAGGGGATTCACCGGTGTTGTCAGGGCCCACTTTGCCTGGGTTTTTATCCGACTCCAATTAGTGTTGTTCTGGGGTTAGGTGTTACCGGTCACAACAGGCTGCTTCAGGTTGGATGGTCTGTGTGCATGCTGTGCCCTTAACACCATCCTTGTGACAAGAAAGAGACCGCAAGCTTGGTTTTTAGTGACAAAGAGCCCGGCCAGGTCTATTATCTACAAAGCTTTAAGGCCCCTTTTTATATACCAAACAACTTTGCATTTACAGCATACACATCCTAGCTCTCATCACGGAGTAAAACAGACTTAGGTGACAGCCTCCACATCCTGCTTCCCATCAATTAGCACCGATCTTCCCACGCAAACCTGTGTGCTGGGTCACGCTGATCTTTGTTTCGGTGGTCTGTACCGGTCTCATCCATTCGCTGTCTCCTGGCCTTGGAGGCTCCTCTAAAGCTAACTAGCTACTTCTGTGCAAGCCATATATTGTATGCCTAGTTCTGTATTCCTTGGGGCCTACTCTGGCAAATGCTGTTACCAGGGCCTCACCAGCGGTTGTGTTAACTCATAGTCCACAAAACCTATACAAACCACAGTCAGTTTGAGTTAATTCTTTAAAAATATATATTTAAAATAGTACGGTAGATGCACAGAGGCTTAATGCACCTTTTCTGGTATGACACAGGACATTACCTATAGGCAGTGATGAGTGGTGATTGTAGGAAGTATTGAAGTCCTTGCCTACTTGGTGCTCATAGAGGTAAGCGTGCTAACCAGCTTGCGTGCTGAGATGGGATACCAAGTAAATGATAAATATGGCTCATTATTTTCACCAAAAAGAGAAATATTTGTAGGAACTTCTCATTTGGGATCTTTAGGGCACGGATGAAAAAGCACAGGTCTAAGAGGTGGCATCTGACACAGTAGGTTGTTGTCTATGAAAGCTCGTACTTCTCCAAACCAGCTGTGTCCTTTGCAAGTTTTCCAGTGACATGGCATGGACGCTTTTACACGTACTCCAGGGGTGGCGGGGAGCAGCGCTTTAATTAGAGCAGCTCCCAGAGCCGCTCTAATTAAAGCACCACAGTGTCTCTTGTATCAGCATCCCCGTGCTTGTGGGGGTGCTTGAACTAAAGCTTGTTCAACGAGCTTTAGCTCAAATGCCCCTGTCACCATTTTGAAGCGAGGATGCTGATACACGAGATGTGAGAGGCTGCTGGAGTGCGGTAATTACCATGCTCCAGAAGACTTGATTAATTAATTAAGCAGCCTCCATACTTGCATACAGGTACCCTACGGTGATGACCTGCCCTGCCTTCAGCATAGATCTAGGGGACCTTAAAAGGTCTTGGGCCCGAGTTTCAAAGGAGCCCGGTATTTGAGCAGCTAAACCAAGTTCCCATGTTTTCAGCATCCAGCAGTTTCGAACGGCCAGATCCAAAGCCTAGTATTTTTCCCGTGGGCTTCAGCTGGCTTTCAGTTAGACCAAATGAGAGCCCCGTCTAACAGGACTTACAACTCCCCACCTCCCTTTCCGCTCTCTGTGTTTTCCTCTGTTGTTTCAATGCCTGCATCTGGTGTCTTTTTGATCCCCAGAAATGAATTCAGACCTTGGACTGACATCAAGCCAGTGAAAGCTATAAGAGCGAAGGTCTCATACAAGCCCCCCGAGGAGAAAATGACCCATGAAACCAGTTACAGCGCTCAGTTCAAGGGGGAGCCTAACAAACCCGTGCCAGCCGATAAATTCCTCGAACGCAGAAGGATACGCAGCCTCTACAGTGAGCCCTACAAAGAATCTCCAAAGGTGAGAAATACAGTGTAAGGCCACGCGGGCCAGCGCTGTTTGCAACGGGGCCCATCTGAACAGCAAGGCATTTCCTAGGCAGACGTCATAGCACTGCCCGAGTCTATCCCACGGCCCGTATCCCACGCATTGCTGGCCAGAGACCCTGTTAGGATTAATTCTCTGACATCCTACAGGACAGAGGGGGCTGGATTTTCTGCTACTGTAGGTCAGTGTAGGCACCCTGAAGTCAGCGATACCACATTGAATTGTAGCAGCTCAGCCTGTGGCCCAAGGACAGTATCTGTGCATTTGCAATTCCCCGATTTCTCCTCTAGACGATTATGACTTAGTAACTACAAAGCTACAAGTGCTTTGCCTCTTCTGATGTCTTCTCAGGAGGAGCATGCCAAGGGGCAGACACTCAGCTGGATGGACATACTTCCACTGATGTTGGCCGTAAGGTCCAGTGGCATTCAGGGGAGTTACACTATTGCACACCAGCCGAGAGTCCATCCCAAGAGGCAAGCCATCCACCCCGAGAGTCCATCCCAAGAGGCAACCGAGAGTCCATCCCAAGAGGCAGTCATATTTTTAGGGTTCAGTGTCCTTCATCCCTCCTAGATTTTGCCCAGATAGCCATGGTATTGTCTGGGTCTGTGAGAAAGAGAGGAGGGTCCAATGGAAAGCTGTGCTTCCCTCCGGATAAAGAAGCCTGTGTTTGCTGCCCCTGTCCCTGTCGGCAGAGGACAAGCCCTAGATATCCTTGCATGTTGTTCCACCGTTTTCTCTACCTAGGAAAAGGGCAAAATGAGGGGTGCCCTTCTGAGCCCCCAGGCACTGGCAACAGTATGGAGGTATTAGTGCATGGGGGATGCTGAGACTTTTTACCCTCTCCTTTTGAGGGCCATATTTTCCTTGTTTTATCCCCTTCACCTCCCCCCCCCCCCAAAATCACTGAGGTTGAAAAGCCACTCTGCAAATTACCAGGGGATGTTAAACCATGCCCTCTCTCTCCACGGACTGTGGGACTGTCTACACAGCAACTCTGGCTCTTTCAAAGAGGGCGTCCTCAAGGTGAGGACAGTCCCGCTCACACCTGCCAAACCCAGATCTGCACCAGCAAAGCCAATCCAGGGGCATCCCACACGATCACTCTCCATTTCCACCACGCTTGAGAGCAGCTGCCACAGGGGATGCCCTTCGGACAGCCTCGCCGCTGCATTTCCAGGTTTGCTGCATGCAAGCGGCAGCGTGCGGGTGAGGCATGCTCCCTCTCTGAATGCACCAGGGATGCGCTGTGGGCATACCCAAAGCATCGCTCCATCCTGCTGGGCTTCGTTAGTACTGAAGAGTCCAACAAATGACACAGAAGTCCTAGTTCACTAAGTAGCCCCTGGCAGCTGCTGTATAGGTTGTTCTGTCCTAGTAACTGAGACCTAATGAGCAAGGACATCATGGGGATCCTTAAACAAAGACCACGGAGCAAAGCAGGTCGTGTTCTTAGCTTAGTGGCTTTCACATCATCTCTCAAGAGGTGGTGGATGTGATGTACTTTACACCAGTGGTGTAAAGTAGCTCAGCTCCATTGACTTCAAAGTCATTGCCTCCTTTACATGACTGAGGAGTCTGAGTCTCTGTACCCAGTGCCAATTCAGATGCCCGCTGCCCTGACATAAATAAATAGATGAATAGTGCCGTCTCTCTGCTGCTGTTTCGATCTAAATCCTGTTTTCCACCTTTCCTTGTGTGTCTGTGTGTTGGTGGTTTGTATGTCACACCCATGCAGGTGGAGAAGCCTAGCGTTCAGCCTTCCAAACCAAAAAAGACAACAGCAAGCCATAAACCCCTGAAAAAGGCCAAAGACAAGCAGATCGCATCTGGCCGGGCTGCCAAGAAAAAGAGCGCGGAGAGCTCCAGCGGGACAAAGCCAGAGGACAAGGAGAAAAGTAAAGAGATGAACAATAAATTGGCTGAGGCGAAAGAGTAAATTTCACTGCACTTTTCTTTCTTCTTTTTCCTTCTTTCTTTTATTAAATAAAGGCCACAAAATTAATTAGAGGCTTCTAATCTGCTTTTGTTCTGATTGTATTAGAAGCTTTCATGTTTTATTTCCAAGGAGGATTAAGACTCCTCCTTTCAGAGGTCAGGTTTTCTGCTTTGCCTGCACGACATGGATCTCTGCAGAAAGAGGAGGAGAGGCAGCGGGAGGGTAGGATGCACAGAGGATTGTAGGATTACAAAGATTTTCAATTAACTGAGCGCTGCAGATGTATTCAAAGGCTTGTCCCTTTCCTGGAGCCTGATCCTCCAGTGGTCTGATCAGGTCAAGCTGCCATCAATCCTGTTGACACAGAGAACGAGCTACATTTTGTTCCCGGACCTGATCCCATGAGGCCGAGTGCCTTTTGGGGATGCTGAGCTCTGGCAACTACCACTCATGTCAACAGGGTAGGACTGGTGCTTGACATCTCACTGGATCAGGCTTTATATGACATCCCTGTAAGCCTGGAGTCAGTCCGCTGAAGTCAGTGGAGTGACTCCTAATTTACCCCACTGTGACTAGGAGCAGCGTTTGTCTTGGAGACGGTGGAAGTGTTGTCCAACTGATGCAGGATTAGATGCTTTGTAATTCATGTGTTGGGCCAGATCTTCAGCCGGTCTAGGTGGATTGAGCTCCCGTGAAGCCAGAGGAGCCACATCCGTTTACACCAGCTGGAAATCTGATTTCTAGGAGGATGCAATGTGAAGTAAGGTGCCGAAGGAGAGTCCAGCTGCTACAAGGATTTCCTGACAGGGCTTCAGGTCAGAGCATGTTACCTGCAGATGGTCCTTGCCCATCATTTTCCAGGGTTTGTGTTTTATTCTTCCTGCTTTGCTTGGTCTGAATTCTTCCTTTTTTTGCTAGGGGCAAATGGATAGTGTGCACCACAAGAGCTAAGAATAGGTGTTAGGAACAGATTGGATTTGCAGATATGGCCTTATTGTGACTAGAATGGAGCAAGTCACTATTGTTTGCTAGACTAATGCCGTGGTCACCGTTGTTTTGAATATACCTACCTGTTACAGTTCATGCTGGCTCGCATATGTGCTAACAGAGCCAGTTGTTGGGGGCCATAATCTCCAACTTGGACAAACCCCTGAGGTCTCCACTCTGGGTTCACCGTGCCTTTACTCTTTTAACTTGTCCCCCAATGTCAGGGTGAATTGGGAGTCAGTCTACACAAATAGTCCATTCCCCAGCCTGTGCAAATTGGCACAGCACCAATTTAATGTGAGGAACTGCTTGGGTTTCTACCAGCTGACAGTCAAGACCAGAATATAGACCTCAGGAGTTGGTTCTTGGACTCAAGGGGCACAGAAAGAGCTAGGCAGCTTGCTTGATTGGGCTGAGGTTGACCAGCTTGAGCTGTTGAACTACCTGATAATAAACTCATGGAGCAGGTGCAGGAGTTGAGACTTATGGGCCTTGGCTAATCTTTCTCGCCATGGCTCCAGCGCTCCTATCCAGCTTGCCAGATTCGCAAAGCCCAGACAGGTGGGGAAGGGGGTTTGCAAGGCAAGAGCTCCAAAACCTCAATGCCCGAAAGATGTTCGAGAGAGAAATGTCTTCCTGCTAGACGATGTTAGGTGCAAGCTGTAGAGGATGGAGCAGGGCTGGAAGAGGGTGCCGATTTCAGTTTTTGCAATCTAAATCTTGGTATCTTAGAGCAATTAAGATGGGCACCACAGTAGAGGGTTGAGAGGAAGTCTAGGGAAGCCCCCCCCCTCCCCGAGTGAATTTTCTTGGCCTGAGTAATGAGTAAATGCAGAGTTTAGTGTGTTGTGTAATGTGTCCTGTTTGCCTTGTGATAATAACAGCCTGAAGCTTTGAGTATAAAGTAGGTGTCATGTTCTGAATTCAGTGGTGTATTTCTAAGCTTAGCTGTGTTAGACCTGTTAGTATGAAATAGGATGTGTATGTGGAAAATATATATACATGTAGATACACACACGCATGTGTGCACACACACACACACACACACACACACACACACACACACCTCCAGTGTTTTAGAGGACACCAGGGAAAACCTCCGAGAAGTAAAACTGAGGAAATATTTGCAAATGTAATGCATTTCTGACATGCATGCATGCATGCTTCATGGAGAACCTCACAGACCTGTTCATAACAGCCATTGAAACCTAGGGCTCGGAAACCTCATGGACATGACTTACCTACAAACCTCCGATCTGTTTCTGAGTGCAGAACAGCTCAGCGCAGGCTGATGCTGATCCCGTGAAAGGCAGCGCAGTGAACAGCTCCTCACATCCAAGTGCCCGTCTCTTATCTCTTCTAAGAGAACTGAGCTTTCAAGGTGCTGCAGGGTTTCAGCATCTCGAGAGATGCCTCCATTCCCCTTTACACCTCTCAGTAACATGCCTTCTTATCTCAGGATATAGCACAGCAGCAGCAAGGGCGATGAAGTGTCAGAGCAGGTAGAAAAAAGCAGCAAAACACAGATGGTTCATGGTAGCCAGAAACACTGGTTTCAACTTACAAGAAGAAGTCCCTGCAGAGAGCATTACCGTTCTTTTTGTCCTTCGTTATAGCATGCCAAAGTAACGCTCCACGAAATGCCCAATCATCTTGAAGTCAAATGAGAATTTTACCATTGACTTCAGTGGGACCAAGGGTATGGGTGTAAGAGGCAAATATACCAAGGGGGAAAAAAAAGAGGACAAGATTTTATCGCACATCAGCTGCTCTGTGATATCTTTTCTGCAGTATGTGGAAGCTAAACCACGGTGGCCCTCAGCAAAAGAGAGAGAAGTCATCACAATTAGTTTTCACCTACTGCAAGATAAGGGCATCCACATGGACAACTTCACAGGGCAGGTGATGTCCGCCCCTTTTTGTGTTGTGGGAAATTGTCCCAATGCCCATACCCCAGCTCCCATTAACTGGCCAGATTTTACGTCCAAGGGGCTGCGTGCGCTCTGGTAGTATTGTGTCCCAACCCATGCTGTTCCCAAGCGTGCTCTACCCACACCAAACCCAATGATACTCCTATGAGGACTTTCTGGGATGCCCAGCTCTCCCTGCACTTAAGATTTCAGTTGCCGACATGCTTGACAGCACCCACTGGTGACAATCCTGAAACGTTCCCATCGGCATATTTTTAGGTTTGGAGCAAATGAGTGACATCAGGTGGGTGGCACATGCCTGGGACCATCCCAGACAAGGCACGCTACTGCCATAGCATGCACATGCCCTCAGTGCAGCAGCTGCATCCCTACTGGGGGCTCTGTGCATACATCCAAGTGCACCGTATATCAATCACAAAGATTAGTACTAGGAACTATAGTCAAATCTGGTTTTAGGATGACATTCTACATGAATATACCTGCCCCACAATTAATCCCCAGCCAACTATTAGAAAGGAGACAAACACCTTTGCTGGTTCAAGCTCACGTTGATACAAAGCTTGTCACTTTAATTCCAAGAGAGGTCTCTGATGATGTGCTTGTGTTTCCAGCTACCACAGAGCTGGTTCTGTTTCACTGCAAACTTGTAATAATGTTTTGCTTTCCATGTAAAATAATAGAAAAATAATAGAAATATATATATATATATATATGTATGTGTGTGTGTGTGTACATATATATATATATATATATGTTTGCTTTTGCCCTTGGGAAGAGGTCCTCTGCTTTGACTGCTTGCTTTCTCATTTTCATTGTATTTCTTTGTTGTACTGTTATTCCCTTTTGCAAGATGGTGCTAAATGCGGACTGAGCTGCTTTTTCCAACTGCTTTGCATAATCAACCACCTGCTTCCTCATCTGCAATGTTTTCTGCTGTAAATACGTGGTTTCCCCTCCTAACCAGTCCCTCTCTCCCCGCCCCAAGAATTCAACATACTCCTGATGGCAGATAGGAAGTGTCTAATTAATATTTTGTGGCCTGGGTTTGGTTGCATATCACAAATTGTCTCTTGTAATGTGTTGAGCACACCACCTCTCGGTGCTATTTCATTCTTGCTGTTAGTATGAGAATGACAAAAACTATTAATGTATAGCCAATTGATTGTGACGTGCTTGTGATCTTTGCTTGCTCAAAGGGTTTTTTTTTTTCCAATGATAAATAAATGCTGAAGACGAACACCACCTCCTTGATCTCGTTTTCTCGATAAGCAGCACAACGGAGTAAGTGAAGGAAGCACCCTTTCCTATATTAAGCAGTTTGACAGCGGGAAAGTCATGAGTTTCATGTTGTAGAAATAACAGAGATGCCGCAGGCTGAATCTTTATGCCACTATAACATAAGCAGGAACGGAGAGCTAACCATGAGCACAGGTGAAGATGGACAGTGAAGTCACGTGAATAGGTAGTTTGGTTTTCATGTTGAGTTGAGCAAAGGGTTCACGCTTTGCATCCCCGCAGGTGGACTTCACACCTTGCTGTTGTTCACCTGACACTTGGCAGGGGTGGCAAAACCTGTTCCTACAAGGAAAAGGATCTTGCCAAAGTGTGTTGACTTCACTATTAGCACTTTTCCCCAACAAAGCCACTTCTGGCCCGTTGGCATGAATGAGGAGTCTTTCCATCATCATTAGTTGACCTTGTGCAATGGAGCGTTCCAGCATGATAACATAAAAAGAAAATGACGGGGTGATGAATGCTCCATGGCACATCCGCAGCCATAAGCACCGAACCTCACAGCCATACCTGTGACACCCGTGCTTGCTCCACATCAACCAGCGCTTGATCCACATCAACTAGCACTTGATCATCATGCCCATCTATTGGAAAAAGATGGTGCCCATTCATAAGTTGTCTCATCTGTGGGGATAAGCAGCAATGAGGAGATGAACTAAGGAAGCCTATACACAGCTGAATTCATTCTGGAGTAGGGTCTATGATAGGGATGGGCAAAGTGATGGACCTGGCCAGAGGCTGGACTCCATTTCCCAGCAGCTGCAGCGATATGGGCAGGGTGCCCA